AAATCCAGGAGGTATATTTTTTGAAGCCCTTTTGGGTACGAACATAGTTGGAGCTTACATTGGCATCATTCCCCCATGCTCTTTCTAAAAAATTATTAATTGTGCTCAACTAAAAAAGTTAAGCTATGATTTCGGTTGAAGTGATTAAATAACAAAAATAGGGGTTGCATTATTTAAAAAAAATGATCCTTTATTTAGTTCAAAAACTACTAGTTAATGTTTTAAAACTAGAACTAATGATCAACTCAATTAAGGCATTAACTCAATAGATCACTAGTTGAACTAGTACATCATTGATTGAATTGCATAAACTAATATATAATTATATAATAATTTTAAATTAACAATATATTGATATATAAATTATTTAAGTGACATATGTTACACTTAGACATAATGGTGCAATGGTTATTATGATTTCAGAAAGTTAAATGCATATGGGACATCACAAGCAAAATTAGTTTTATTATTTATTTTCTAAATTTTAGAAGCTCCTAATTAAGGTGTGAAACATGAAGAAATGTGCACATATTGGGTGGTCAACAATGTTTATAACAGTTTGATAACATAACCAATCCATTATAAGGCTTAAACCTATTTGACCATTTCAATCGACCATCCAATTGTTAAAACACAATTATTAGTTCAGAATGGAAAATGTATTCTAAGCCCAAAATGCAAATTTAGTTTTTTTTATTAGAAAAACCAATAGACGACTCAAAATGATATTAATGTAAGTGAAATTTATTGCTTTACTCAAATAATTTTTAAAAAGGAAAAGATAATAGAAACAATAAATTTATACTAGTTCACCCTAAACTCAAGGCTATATCCTAATCTCTTTATACTAGTGAGATTTTCACCAATATTGAACCTTAGTTATTACATTTGGTTACTCAACAACCACATCAAGTTGGTCCACAACATTGAGCACACTGCTATTTCCAAAACACCCACACACACACACACACACACACACACACACACACACACACACACACACACACACACACACACACACACACACACACACACACACACACACACACACACACACACACACACACACACACACACACACACACACACACACACACACACACACACACACACACACACACACACACACACACACACACACACACACACACACACACACACACACACACACACACACACACACACACACACACACACACA